TCCGAAACCTTACTGCACATTTGTAAGACACCTCAACTCATCTTGCAAAAGATGATTTGGCTACTTCGTAAAATGTATGAGAAGTTCTGTGAACCATTTTTTTTTTTGTAAAACGAAAAACTTTTTGACGCCCATTTGGCCTCCAGGGTGGAATTAATATTCTAGAACCTTATTACACAGAACAGCCTCAATCACCTAGCGAAAGATGAGATGATAACAGTGTAAAATGTGTGAAAAGTTCTGGAAACTAGGTTTTTGAAAAGTGAAACGACATTTTTCGACCCCCAATTGGTCCCCATGGTGAAAATTCCAAAACTTTCTTGCACATCTGCAGGACACCCCAAATCATCTTTCTTACAAAATATGAAATTGCTACTGCATAAAATGTAAGAAGATTTCTGGGAACGAGAGTTCTGTACAATGAAAAAGTCGTCGATTTTCGACACGTATTTGGCTCCCAGGGTGAAAATGAAAACTCTGAAACCTTAACGCACATGAAAAGGACACCACCAATTACCTTCCAAAGGATGATTAGGTTGCTAGGTTAAATGTATGAGGAAATCTGGAAATCAGATTTCTGTAAAAAATGTTGTTCACGATCCCAGTTTGACATCCAGGCTGAAAATAAAAATTCCGAAACCTTATTGCTTATCTACAGGACACCACCAATCATCTTGCAAAGTATTATATGGCTACTGCGTAAAATGTAAGAGGAGTTTTGGGAACCAGGTTTTTTGTAGAAAAAAACATCGTTTTTCAACTCCCGTTTGGTCCCCAGAATGAGAATAAACACTCTGAAACCTTATTGCACATCTACAAAACACCACCTATATATTTTTAAAGATTAACTGGTTACTGCTTAAATTGTAAGAGGAATAGCATGAAGAAGAAAATGTGACAGACGGAAGGAGTTTCCACCAAAAAATTGTGAGTATGATGGGTGTAAGTCACAATTAAACCATGGCAAGGACACCCTCTACATGATCTCGATTCCGTGAAGCTGTACCAGAACTTCTTAAGAATATCAAGGCACGTACCATGTAGTGAAGGCCCTTGCCTGTTTTTATTTTTTAGGAGCACCTAAGATCATTCATTATGATCAAGGTTCGAATCTTATGTCGGAGTTGTTCCAACAGGTCATGTATGAATTAGGTTTTAAGCATGTGTATGCGTTGCTTGCCATTCTGAGTCACAGGAGGAGCTTGAAGGCGTTATCAGACTCTTAAAACGATTCTGCAAACATATTGTTACCAGTATGGAAAAGACTCGGATGAAGGGGTTCACCTTGTGGTATTTGCTGTTCAAGAGTGAGTCCCTCTTAATTGCTCTTTGCAATATTGGTCATACGGTCAGAGTTCCTTTGATAATGATGACGAAAATGTAGTTTACTTGTGATCACAATCTTTTAAAATATGTGTCAAAAAAGACTTTACAATGTTTGCAAATTAGTTAAAAAAAAAAACAAAAGTTCTGAAGCAAAAATAAATATTTGGTATGACAAAGCTGAGAGGACCAGAGTTTTAAAGCTGCGTAATAAGTTTCTTGAATTTTTACCGTTCCTGGTTATCGTTAAGTTTATAGGTCGGTTTGTAGGTTCTTATGAAACTGAAAGCAAGATAAAATATGTAAACTGCCCTAACAAAAAAATACTATAGTTAACTATAGTTTACTATAGTTAACTATAGTTAACTAGTGATAACTTTGACACTATGAAAACTTTGATTTACTATAGTGATAACTTTGACACTTTGATTTACTAAAGTGATATCTATGAAAACATTGATTTACTATAGTGATCACTATGAAAACTTTGATTTACTATGGTGAAAACTTTGATTTACTATAGTGATAACTTTGAATTACTATAGTGATAACTATGACACTATAGTGAACACTTTGAAAATTTTGATTTACTATAGTGATCACTTTGACACAATAGTGATCACTTTGAAAACTGAGTTACTATAATGATCACTTTGACACTTTGATTTACTATAGTTAACTATAATTAACTATAGTAAACTATAGTTAACTATAGAATTTTTTGTTAGTGTGTGCAGCTTAGACACTTGGTTGACCCAAAGAGAGACGTGTTTGTCACATAAACATGTCTTAAGAGTATTTTGAAAGAAAAAACCGAAATCTTGTAAACTACTTTGACAAAGATCTTGGAGATTTTTCCTGAAATGTACATAAACTGTAGAAATTGGTGAAAAAACTATAATCAAAGTGTCTGTTAGAAGATTCTCTAAACCTTGCAAAATGATGCAAAAATTAGACATTGGAATATTCACGAGAACAATTAACCCTCTGCTGCTTTAGTATCTTTCAAAAAGTTTTTTTTTAAAGTTTGCTGTTTGTCATGATGTAATAGTGGGCGGCTCTCTGCCTATCAAGCAGCATTTTTATACTTTGCATCCCAAAAACCTTCAGTGTGTAAGAAAAGATGTGCAGTACATACTGGACACACACAGTCTTGTGTAAAGTCAAATTCGTTGTTGTTAATTAATTTAGTATTCTGGTACCAAAACCAGACGTACCAACGGATTGTTTACGACATTAGAAAAGTAAATTCTGTCACTAAGATTCGCTCATTCCCAGGATCGATAACTGCAATGACAAATAAATAAAAAAAAAAAAACGGTCTGTGTGAAACTAGATAGGTTTTACCAGTACAAATCAAAGCCTTTTGGCTTGTATAAACTACATTCCAAATAATGATCCACGTACTTCAAGACTTCCGAGGGTGTGAGGCCTACATTGATGACATGTACTGTGACTTGTAGAATGAAAATAAATTGCGTAAGTTTTAAATTGTGTATTTGATATGTTGCTGGCATTTAGGGAAACTCTGACAGATAACAGAATTCTATTCGAAGTTTTCATTTTAATCAAAGTTTAAGGGTTTTAGAGATTGACCTTTAAAAGCTAATTGCTTTTCTGTGAAAACCAATATCTATTTGTTTACTTTAGTTAGTATTAATCATAAGATCTGAAAATTGTTAATCAGGTCAATTATTTTAAAAACGTCAATTGTTTATATAAGGTTTCCTAAAATCATTGTAATCCATTCTTAATTTATAACTTTCAATCTATAGAAGTAAAAATCAAACATGGTCTTTGGAATCTTTCTACAAGTCTTTGGAGTAAAATTCTTCTTTATGATTACCTATAGTCTTTGCAACCAACAACTGCATTTTGTGAAGATGAACAACTTTTCGAATTTGAAGTTTAATAATGAACACACTCTCGATTCTTCGGCTGGCAATTTAGAGGACTGTGCAGTTCAATGTGAAATTTCAAATACATGTCTCTCTTTTCAACATAACCCTAACACAAACGAATGTGTTCTGTTCAAAACAATACATTACAGCACTTTAAAATCTTTCGGAGTTCCTGGATGGAATTACTTTATTAGGACTGGAGGTAAGAATTCTAGAAAATGAAGATACATGTATTCGAAACGTTTTTAACATTTAGTGAATGGATATCAGTCAATGGACATTTTTTTCAAGTTACTTTATATTCCAAACACCTCGTGATCTCACATTAAATAGAGGTGTGTGAATCAGATTATTAGAAATCGATATAATTCCATAATAATTTCAAATAAAAAAATCAATTTCAAAACAAATTTCATAAGGGAATTAAAAGAAGGATTAACCATTTAACAAGTATTCCCTGGTATCCAATGTTTACTTATTAGATATAAATTTTATTTTTTAAAAAAATGAATATTTTAAATTCATAACAAAATTTAAAGCGTATGAAATTCTATCCGTTTGAATAGAGCTTATTCATTTGTAAATATTCATTGCAATTAAAAATTAAAAAAGAAAGATCTTGGTAATATGTTGAACTAAAATATGCAGGAATGTTGTTACATATACACACAACGACAATATTGAAAAGTTAATCACCAAAAATAACAAATCATTAGAATGTTATGGGCATACAATGTATAGCATTGTAAAAATAAGCATTTAATTAGAAAAAAATCTGATTTCTTCAACAGGGAGATGCCAAGATGGCTTTAATGAGGCCAGGAGAGTAAACGTTTGTTTCACCTTTGTCGGTTATTCCAGTGTATTTGACGGCCGTAAAGAGTGTTCCCGCAGAAATTCCGATATCATTGCTATCCGATCAAAGGAAGAAGGAGTCCTTTTGAAAACTTTAATGTGTAAAGTCATAATAATGATAGATATCTTTTTTCCTTTAATGAATGTTGATCTGAGTATGATGATTTTATTGTAATTTTACTTTTTACTGTATATACACTGTATCTTAATTGGTTAAAAAATAAGGAAAACTTATTCAACATTTTTTTTAAAAAAATATCCCTGTCCTACAACACACGATGATTTTTGTGCTCATGTACCTTTTCAGTTTCATTCATAGAAATTCTGGGCACATCATGGGTATACCATGCAACACAGACGTAGAGTTTTTTGGTCACTATATAGCATAATACATTGATAACTCTTTTGTTGGACAGTTAGTAGTATTCTCAGGATGGGGACTTTGTTTTAATAGTTTTGAACTGGATACTCTTATAATTTAACATTTGAACAGTTGTACTGGGCGAGAATCCATAAATCTTAATATAGTCACCTCCTGTAAACTCTCTGTCAGCAAGGTATTGCTCATTGATTTATCCCAAAAATGTTATAATTCATAACTTAAATCATTGTTTAGAATTCTTTTAAAAACACAAAAAAACACAAATAAAAAAACTAAAAAAAACTAAAACACAAACTCCCACAGGTATATAAAAGTTAACATTTCTACGGGTTACATTAATTAACCCGCTTCTAATTAAAACTGAACGGTTAAAAGAAACATTAAACACCCGTTTTAACACTCATTCCTCATAATAGAAGAATCTGGAACTTCTGATGCTGACAGCTAAAGCGCTTTTGAAACACCTGCATAATTCCAAGCCCGAGCTTTTGTTAAACTTTGTGTGTTATATATTATTGCTGAAAATTATTTTATTCCAGACTCCTTGTTCGAACAAGGCAAGAAGACAACTGCAAACAAACCATACATCCAAGGTCGATGGAATGGAACTCGCTGGGTGTTTGATGACGGCAAAGTGCTAGAATATACAATGGAGTGGATATCAGGCACAGATCTCAGTAAATTGCAATACAACGACCGTCTTAGTTATTATCCAAGACGCAATAACATTGCATTCAGCGATGGTAAATCGTCTAGACCAATTATAGTATGTGCGTATGATGTAATCTGAATTGTAACATTGCCCAATGATGTTCTTTTATTGTTAAGGACTCATACCAATACATCGATTGGTTGAAAGACATTTGATAAAAACAGTTGTTACAGCGCGCCTTAAGCCACGCCTACCAGGGTGACAATTTATAGCAATGGATTGTAATGCATGAGGACAGATGAATTGATACTGTACAGAAAGTATGTCCGTAAAGATTCATAAAGGTTCATTTTATGCGTAAAATGGTCCTTTAGATATATCAATTTATTGATTTAAACACTTTATGTCCCATTTAAAGCTTCTAAATGAATTAGAGACTTACTGCTTTCATTTCCTATAGAAAAGTCTTTTTGAAAGTCCAGGTACATGTATTACGTGAAGAAAATTGCAATGTTGTTGAATTTTATAGAGATTGTGTGTATATAAATACTTTCAGCAAAGAATCAAAATATAAGAACACCCCTCGATCCAAAAAATAAAACATGTTTATAATCTCCAGAAACACTTCTTTCGTCACTTACAAATGAGAAAAAATGTTTTGAACGCTAATTTTTTAAAGAGTATATACGTCTACCCAAATCACCTACAATATTGTCACAATAAAAAGATAAAGAGATTGTTTGGATTATGACTTTTTTAGCAGAGCAACGTCAGGATCTAGTGTATAAAACACAAGTGGTGTAGGTCTCAGAATTTGGAAATACTATATAAAATACTCAGGTGAGCGTCAAGGGCCATAATCCTCTTTTTTCCTACAAAAGATGCGCAGAAATATAATCAATTTGTGAATATCAAGCAACTCCAATATTTTTTCTGGGGAAAGGGGGATGCATTATTCCTTGCCAAAGATTGCGATCCTGTGATTCGCTCCTCGTCAATCTTATGGAACGGAAGCGGGTTGCATGAAAGGAAGGGAGTAGATTTTGTAATCTATACAAATCAGCGTGCTAAATGTACAAAGGAATGTGTATATAACATAAAAGTACCATCACGATGGATGAAACAGATTTCACATGAGATTACAATGTAATCAAAAGTATTTTATCATTTTTATGTAAATCAATATTAGTTTAATTAATTTACGTGCAAGTGTTAATTTTTTTTAAAAATTCTTTGAATATTATCTTGTTTATCTAAATCTATCCTCCAAACAATCCCATCTAAACCTGCTTTATTAATAGGATTTTGTTGATATATGAATATTATTTGACATTAGCAACACCTATACTATTTATGTCTTGTTGATATACATGTACATGTGTAAGCTTTTTCATAATAAATGTTCTTAAATAACAGAAATTGTCCATATTTTCTAGCCAAACGGAAAATATAATCTTGGTTTAAATTCTCATTCCTAACTTTATTTGAAAAAAAGGGGACAGAAAATGGCATGAATTTTAAAACTGAAGTGAAAAAAGCTAAAAAAAAATTATACAGGTGCAAAATCAAATCTCTTTATCTCTTCATATACCCTCTTTGAAATACCATAAAAATTTAAGTGCAAAGAAGTTATGTTACATCCATAACATTACATTCACAATCATAATTTTACACACATTTCTCTCTCTCTCCTATCATCTTCTGTTGCAGCGCAAAATTAAAGATATATCTCTCTTTGTTAATATGGAAAAATCGACCAAATATATGTGGTAAAGATATCCTTTTATTCAACAACTCATCTTCGTATCGACCATTAGATGCCGTCCATATGTTTCCAAATTTAATTGTTCCTATTGTTATAAACTTGAATGCAGGACCGAATCTTCCATTAATCCATAGGTTTTAATTTTTCATCTATGCTGAAACTTTGTATGCTTTTCGTAAAGAGTGTGCCTTGACATGGTAATTGCGGTTTGTGTCGCAAAACAAGTGTTTGTAGGAAATTGTGTTTCTGAATTAAATATTGAAATATGCAGGAAAGACATGAGAAAAAAGTTCATAAATTGTTTGTCTTAATTATCGGTTTGTGTTACGTGCTAATTTGCAAACGGATAACCTCTGTCCTACTTTGTGAGGAAAATGGCACACTTTCGTATCAGGTAAGTGAATGAAATTTTAAAGCTTAAAAGTGGTTTTTCATTTTAAAAATTTTAAAAAATCATACCTGCAGTATTATAAAATTTTATAATACCGCGGGTATGATTTTTTTAGTAAAACGTTAATTCTGCGTTATTTTTTGGATTTTTCATATGGAATGCATTGTAAATGTGTACTAGAAGAATAGTTTATGAAAAAAGACGGGGGGGGGGGGGGGGGGCGGGGGGGGGGGGTCCTGTCTACAAGTACCTGTGTGATCTTCCAGTCACTTCTTCCTTTGTTCAAATGTTGAAATTGGTTGATAGTTGATGAAATGTTAAGACATAATCTCAGATTCTTTTCTTCAACTAAAAGTAATACAGTTATGAATTTTACACGTATATGAATAGAAAATGTTTCATAAAGTATCTTTAAAAGCTGTACAGATGCAAAGAAGCAGTTAGAAAGTGTGTGGAGGATCCGTCCACCCCTTTAGTGTCATTTATTCTTGAATCCGACGCTTCATTAGAAGATACAGATGCAGCGGAATAAATATGAACATTGGAATGGTTTAAATCAGTGCAATCCAAGATACTTTACAATTGGCGCAAGTTGCCACTGAAGATTACAAAAGAGAGCATTGAGATTAAACGATTGTTCAGAAATTTAATAGTTTTCTTGATGAACTTAAAATAAGATCAGAACAGTAGCGTCAAGAAGACGTAACGTATCAAGTACCATTGTTGTCCAGCAGGTTAGACGTAGTCTAATTTCGTGTTTTTCTTTGTATCTTAAAATTATCTGAAGGAAATTTCAAGCTACAGTCAAAATAATTAGAGGCGTTAATGCATAAAGCTTTGTTGATGAGTTCCTATTATTAAAGATTTCATATCATTTGTGACATTACCTTTAGGTTAACCCTTGTAGTAATCACAAGTACATCAAATATGAAGATAAGGAGCAATAATCATGCTCAAAAATCGAACTAGTAAACATTAAAAATTAAGAGCAGAAAAAACACGGACCCACTGAAAACATAAAGAGGTGGGATCAAGTACCAGGAGGAGAAAGCATCCCCTGTCGACTTTTCACCCTCGTCGTGAGCTCCTTGTCATGGTCGATTAAACGGAGAAATCCTAGACAATTCATAATGAAATTAATCCCCTGACTATCTGTATGAAAAACGTCAGTCAACATTCGACCTAACGACAGACTGAACTTGCAAACTTGATCATGGTATTGACCATATACCTTGCAAAATGTTAGCTCTAAACAAGATTGATATATGTAGATGTACCCTTGTTTCATTAACTTATCTGTCAGTAGCCTGTAAGGACAAAACTCCCACTGCGTTTTCTCTATCATCAATAATCAGTTTTCAATTTATTTTTTGTAGATACTGGAAAAATAAACGGCTGTTGTGTCTGATATTGCCCCTAATACTAGTATTTCTTACGACAGACATATTTTTCAGTCGTACAGCAACGCTTCTTACTGGGGAGACCAATTTGAACACCATTGCCCGACATCATATCGCCTATATCAAAGTTCATAAAGCAGCAAGCTCAACTATTCAAAATATTCTACTGAGATACGGGTACATGAGAAATTTGACCTTTGTCCTTGGTCGTAATGCTAATGTGTACCCTAACGTCATCAGTATTACCGAGTCTGTTACAAAATACAACATAGAACCTCCTCCAAAGAACAAAACATTCGACATTTCGTGTAGTCATGTGATATATAATCGCCAGTCTTTTAGCGCCATAATGCCACGTGATACAGTGTACTTAGCATCTGTTCGAGAACCCTTCACAGTTTTCATATCAACTCTTCATTATTTTCGGCCACCATATATATTCAATATCAACGTATCAGATCCAATATCAATGTATTTGAAAAACCCTGAAAAATATGAACCCGAAGTGAAAAATTCTTTAACAAATAACAGAATGGCATTTGAACTGGGCTTCCCACTTCAACTGTTTCACTCAAAAAACTGGGCTGGGATTAAAGAGTATCTAAAAAAGTTGGATAAAGAAATGGATTTAATTTTAGTGGTAGAAAGATTAGAGGAGTCTATCGTTCTACTTAGAAGACTTCTACATTGGAAACTACAAGATATTCTTTATGTTCCGAAAAATAAATTTGAAGCATTGGACAAAAAGACAAAGTCAAAGCTTAATGAAAAATTTTACCTCCGAAAAGATGCAAAACGAAAATTTGAGAAATGGGCAGTTCTGGACTACATTTTATATAAATTTGCTGTTAAAAAACTAGAGCGCCAAATTCGAAGCCAAAACACAGACTTCCAGAATGAAGTTGCGTATTTCAAGTTTATTCGGATGAAAGTTGAGGAGTTTTGCTTGAAGCAAAGCAAGCCCTATAGAAATGTGACTTTTACTGTTTATCAATCAGTATGGAACGACAAATTTGTTGTGGATTCGCTGATGTGCTCCCAGATGATATTAAGAGAGTCGTACTTTATTAAAGAAATAAGGTACCAACAATATGGAGTTTTGCCCAGTGAGGACAATTAACAAATAAATATATTTTTTGTTACAAGGCTAAACGTTTACTTCCATGCTTTGACAATTGAAATTAGAGAAACTACTATGACGTTGAAAATACATGTACGAGTATATCTATATAATTCTTTTTAAAAATATGCTTTTTGAGCATTTTTCGTTTTTTTAAATTGTAAAAAGTACAGGTAATTTTTACATTTTTTTAAGTGCAGTATTCTGAGGACTCTGTGCGTCTGTGATACATTTATATACAGTTACTTTTATTATAAGCTTTTATCTGCACACAGTAAGTTGACCAAGCATAGTTCACTTAAAATAATTATTAAGCCATTCTACTTACCAATCACAGAAAAAAAGCATGAGCCAATAAATAGGATTTTTTTTTTGTAAAGAAACAATATTTATATAATACAGAAGGTTAAAAAATAATTAAATAAATAAAAACATTAATACATGCCATTACCCCTAAATTTTGGAACCATGCATATTAATCCAAATTACACCTTGTCATTGCCTGTCAAGTAAGTACAGTGTATGCCTGCACAATATATTCTTGCTTGTGTCACTTAATTACCTCAACAGGCAATGGTATGTCTTGTGCACATTATAATGAAAAGACATGAATACATCACAAGTTTTTTTTTGTTTTATTATCTAGTCTCCATATCTTATTGCTACCAATTAAATGCAGTCACTACTCTGACAAACAGGAACCTTTATGTAACATTAACACAAAAGCACAAAATGACCAACAAATTCAATATTATCACAGATATCTCATTTCAAGTACATGTACCACCTACATAATCAACAACAGATTATCATATGGTGCAATTTGAATTCAATTGCACATCAGTCAAGAATTAAAATCAATGCAATTTTTGAAACATCCATCATGAAGTTTTTGATTTTTTCCATGAAAACATCGATTTAATTTGTTTCCATACTTCTCCCCACAAAATCACATTATCATAAGAATTAGACATGGGGTCTTGACTCCTGAAAGAGCCATCAAAACTGTTAATTTTATCTCTTTCTACAGAAATACTGTATGACTCGGATGAAACACTCTTAGAATGGGCACCAGTTAAATACTCTCTATGATTTTTCATTACTCTGTCTCGTTCCTTGTCCCAGGAATAAGGTATAAGTTGCTTTTTCATTACAGGGACAATAAGGTTGAATTTTTTCACACTGTCATTGATCAGAGAAATGTTGGCTTTGAACTTTTCACATTCATACTTCCAAACCTTATCTAAATGAGAGGATGGAAATGGAGGGGTTCCTATTCTTTCTAGTACTTTGGCAAGGTTATGTCTTGAATCTAATATACCATCCCTACAACAAGTAAAATTCTTTCTGTAGTTACTTGAACAATAATGGAATGTGGGAATAGAATAATGTTAACAAATAACACATCAGATCTGCGAATGATATAGTAATGTTCTGCTGCCTAGTAATAAGTCAATTTCTCAGAAGCAAATATTGAGATATTTGAATGATTTTCATATTAATATAGAGATATTTAAATAAATTTTCACAAAACATATCTTACTTGGGAAAATGAAGTGAGATAAGTTAATTTTGGTAAAATTTGTGTTTTTCAGTAATTTCATCATAGATATCAAGAGAAAATGGAAAATATTTTTTACACATCTGTCTCTCTCTGAAACAAAATAATTCCTTTTTACATATTATGAATTATAATTTAAAAAATATACAAAAGCTTCTGTTGTTGTTGTTGAACTGGGGGGGGGGGGGGGGGGGGCATATACTTGCAGAAAAAACTCAAAATGTTTATTTTATTTAACAACTTTAAATGAGATTTCAACTAAAAATTGTACTTTATTAATCATATATGTTTAATTTTACATAAGTTAAACATATGGAGAGATGTAAGGGTCATTGATATAAATCTATATCCATAAGTATTTTAAAATATATTTTAAAGCCTGCTTTCACTGGATAACATTTTCTACCCCCTCATAAAAAGAGTTATAATTATAAGAGCAACTAATTATTTGACACTGATATTAAAATTATCATGATTATTAATCAATTACTTATGAACACTTTTTTTGATTTAAAGAAAAATGTTTTCTATGGTGAAATTTCCACTCATGTTGAATTAAATGGGTGTAAAATGTAGGCAGGAATATCAAACTAGAGGGCATAGTTCTTTCCATTGCAGGTACAGAAAATTTAAGAATGGATTCCTAAATAACAATTGGAAATATTTTCAGTTATACACAGGTATGCAGTGCAAGAGGATTGCATGAGTGACATATATTCATCAATAAAATACTGTCATGATTTTAACTTTTAATTTCCTAACAAACTAGACCAATAATTCAGTATGAGAAGTACATGTGATGTGATGCAATGTACCTGTATTTAAGAAATAAAACTTGAAAGTGGAGTAAGAATCCGCTTTCAAACACATGTACTTAACAGTGTTTTTCACACATATTTTTTAAAAGCATCCTTTTTCATCCATTTTTGGAGGAATTTTACATTCACCTAGAAAACAATTGGTAAATATCATTGATTTTGGGAAAAATGACCACTTTTCCTACAGTAAAAAATGTCTATTTGGCTGTAATTTTGGGTCAGAAAAACAATGCTATATTGGCACGTACCTTATGTCTTTCTCTAGCATAATCCAGTCTGGTGCAAATCCTTCATCTTTTAACATCTGGTTAATCTTATAAGTGGTGGCATCCACAAGTGGGTTTCTGTCTTTGTATTGAATAGGTTTACCATACCCAGCCAAATTGTCAAAGTCACCCCTCTGCATGGATTCTTGAATCAAATCCTCAACCACACGGTCAATGGTTTTACTAGAAATAAGATCAATCATTACATGGCTTTAAGGGTATTTCAGGGGATTTCAATCAACTACTCTAACAGCAATGGGGGGGGGCAAAATTTACTTTTATTTGTACATCTACATGTAATGGCTCTTTATACTAGTATGCAAAGGGAATTTTTTATGTTACCACTTAAACTGTAGCTTAATATTTTGAAAGCATGCCCTTTTCGGCTCATGAAGACATCTTGGATCAAAATCTAAATACATATATCACAACCTGAGTGCACATCTATAACATACATACAAAATATTATAAATTTTTTTTTAAAAAACTTGTTTTATCTTAAAAAGTAGGAGAAAGAGACAATATACCTGAAACTTTAAAAAAAAAAACTGCATGCATAACATACTACAGTCAAACCTCGTTATCTCAAACTCAATTCTACTTATCCATTGTATTCGAGATTAATAGAATCATTCATTACTACGAGTGTGGGATAGTGAAATTCCACCGAGGGGACAAGATTCACGGTTTAGGACGAGGCTTTGCATTTCACTATCCCACACGAGTATATAATGAATGATTATTTTTCTCGCATTATTTTATCCAAAATAACGTCATGTCAATGATGTCATCACCATTGAAAAAAAATATATTTATAGTTTAGCATCCAATTAAAAATCTAAATACACCATCAAAGAAATCGTACCTGAAAATGGTTTACACATTTGTGTAAACTCAGAAAATAAATTTCAGTCCACTCAAATCATTCTGAGTTATATAAACTGGATTTTAAAAACAAACGATAGCGTAACATTTTATAAGAATCCTTCCGTGAGATACAAATAGTGCCATTTAGAAAGTGAAAATACGACAATCTTTTGAATTAAAACAAGTTTGATTATATTAATTAGACATCTACAATTTAAGTATATGTGATTTTTTTAAACATTATTTATTACAAGTATTCTATAAGAAGGAATGTTTACGTTACTGTTCGCAGCGTATTTATACACAGTGTAAGACAAAAAAATCTCACACTGCTGTCTCACACTGGACAATCTAACACCGGTGATTATGCGAGAAATCGGTGTTTGAGATACCTAATTTCAACTGTATATGCATTAGATTAGGAAACAAAAATGCACCTCATTTTGTTTCTCCGAGCTATTGATTTGGTTTTATTCACCAAAGCTGTTTCTGAAGGCTTCATCCATCTTGCCTTCTTGTGCTCAAACAAATCTTCAGAGACTTTTCTTACTCTGTGTTGGGCATATTGTTTTTGTCTTTGTAGTGGTGTGCCAAATCCAACACCCTGTAGATTTGATTAAAATAATTTAATATGAAAGCAATTCAAAAAAAAAAGAAGTTATTTAAGGTTATGACCAATGTGTGAATTTGAAATATAAAATCTGATAGCTAAAAAGTGTACATGTATTAATATAATTATGTAATAATCAACCAGCTATTATTAATTGTGAGCATTTTCAAAGAAATTGATTTATAGCTATTACGATTTTCTTTTGCAGATACATCCACTGACACATTTGGTCACATAAATTTCGATGGCAATTTTGATCGGGCCCTTGCTAGACGACTTTCGAGCTCTAGAGCTCAACACCATAAAAATGGCTTGTATCTTTATAATTCCATCACACAGTCTTTCTTCTACTAAATGCAGTGATCATGATATTACCTTTTTTTGTTAAATACCAGTTTGCAAGCAATCATTTATACAAATGTTACCAAGATACCTCAATGAACACTTCAAAGAACTATATGTATATCCCATTCAATGGATATAAATAAAATATATCCTCTATATACTTAATCAATGTATTTAGAAAAGGTGATCAGAAGATGAAAGGAAAAATTCTACTTGTAACACACACAACAATCAACATAGATCAGTCATAACTAGGTTACGAATATCAGCTCACAGGCTTAAAATTGAAATTGGACGATATCAAAAAATACCTAAAGATGAACGATTTTGTTCCCTTTGTGATCTCAAGGAGATTCAGGATGAAATTCATTTTCTCCTTGTATGTCCTCATTTTAGTGTACAAAGACTTGAACTTATAAATATTTGTAATAATAAATGTAAAAATTTCCAGTCCCTATCATATGATAATCAATTTCTTTGGCTCATGACTAATGAAGACCCTGAGATCCTAAGATCTCTTGCTAGATTCCTTGATAATCTACCATAACTGAAAAATTTAAATATATTTGGGGATAAATCTTGTAAATCTTGTAACACACACAAGAAGTCTCCATGCAAAGAGAGATAACTCTGAATTTTTCCTCAAAGCAGGTGTAGAAAAATAAATAAGCCAAAGGTTTACTAAATTTCAAAATCATGATAATCAATATTAGTGTTATTTTGAAGCAAGCAGAAATTACATACATCATAGCTGAGGTACTGACGATGCTGTGGAACAGTGTGTTTTATGTCAAAGTCAAGATCATCCTCCATTTGATGGTCTGTGTCTGCAGGGGTATTTCTATCAGTTCTATGACTCTAACATTCAAACAAGATTAAAAACAATGCATAAATATTCACAGCAATTTTTTTTTTACCTAAAAAGTTATTTTTGTCTCATTAGTGAATGCAATTTATGAAAGAATTATGATAGACATCCATTGTTTAATTATTCACTCTTCATTGTATTGAAAAACACAAGGAAATCTACTAGTATATGCATGTATGAAATTAATTCCATTCTACATACACATATTTCTCTCGAAAATATAATTCATGTTATAAAAACAAGAATGGTACTATTTTGAATGTACATTGCTTACTTAGAGAGCCAACATTAAAGGCAAGTAATTTTATACCTTAATTGCAACATATGCCTCTTTAATTTGATTAAATTTTCTAGGGTCAGCTGAAGAAGTTCCAGAGTCAGGGTGATAGACCTTGGCAAGCCTGAGATACGCTTCCTTCACTTCGTCATCTGAACTGTCATCAGTAACATTTAGAATGCTATAGCAGTCTTTTATATTGCTCCTTAACTGGTACCCAATTAATCTGCAACTTATATTCTGGAATCGGTTCCAAGAGAGGAAATAGGCATGAGGCCATCTGCGGATCATCCTAGTAAGAACTAACAACAGAAATGAATTAATTACACTGCATAACCATAATTGTTCTACAAGTTATAAAAATAAAAGAGTTATAAAACAATGGGCCAAAAACGTAGGTGAAAGCTACTATTGAAATGTTTACATAAAATTATGACCTTACTCACTTAAACAACTGTCTTAGCAATATGCAAAATGAAATGGTGGATAGAATAGATCTATCATTAATCAAGATCAAAAATATATGTAGCTGAAATTTCATATCCGTGTGATGCAAATATAGCCCTAAATAAAAAATACCAACCCCTCTATCTGTCTATAGGGCGTTATTTTCAAGTTATTGATAAATTTTCAGGCCCGAGTTTTACTAGGGGTCGTATTATTTTTACCGACTTATGTTACGCCGATTACATTTTCTCTATATTGTCGACAACCATCAATCACTAATAAGTATATTATTTCCAATCCAAATATACAATTTACATACACTAAATAACCATAATATCACCTCATTCCACAGTGACTCCACAGACCACCGAGTTGCGTAAACAAAATCTACACCGGAAACTGAAGAGAGGAATGTAAATTTAAACTTTTTATTTGCGACATTATTTTCCCCGAAAACACACAGGCGCTTTCATTGTTAGCTTGATGACACGACCTGTCTTCTATGTAAAGAATGATACATTTTAGCTCATTTGATCCAAAGACTCACATGGAGATTTTCTGAGCGATGACTACTCAGCTTATATTTATGTACGTATGACTGTACATATTTATCCATTTATGAGTTTTCAACTTCTTAAGAACCGGACAAATTTCAGCTCCCACAAAGCATCCTTGGGTAAAGGTGCAGGGTCCTTAGAAGCTAGCTTTGCGGGTGGAGTGGGTGGGGGATATATGGGTCACAACCTTTCAGAAATTCTTGACAAGACAGGCCCGTAGGAAGCAATTTCAGTTTGGGGGGGGGGGCACAGCTATACATTTTCAGTTGAGGAGCATTATCAACATGATCAACTATACCAAAAATTCCTTGACAATCAAAAAAAAAAAAAAAAAAAAAAAAAAAAAAAAAAGGTCATCAGACGTTTTTATTGAGGGGGCACAAGCATATAATACCTATATTTTCTATAGTAAACTATATATCGGCAAAATTATTGGGGGGCGGGGCACCCCCCCGTGCCCCCCCCCCCCGGTTCCTACGGCCATGCAAGAGCAATTATGGTTTGGGTCGTGGATATAGTCGGTATAGAGCGCCGGACAAGTGGTGCAGGAGTGCCGGGTTCGATTCCGGATCCAGACATACATGTACATTAAGTTATTGTTTCCAGCGACATAATTTGATAACTTGGGTTAATTAATTGTGTCTTCACCTTCGAAGACAGTTTAAGGAGGTGGAAATGTAATGGTTTGGACTGTGGATACTGGCCTGGGTTGCTCAGTAGGTAGAGCACAGGTCTGACTATTATAGTAATGTAGGATTCAATTCCCGGTTTTCTCCTTTCCTTTTACACAAGCTAATAAAAAATGGTCATCAGACGTGTTTGAGGGGCACAGCAGTCACATGTTTTTTGAGTATATACTGGCAAATTTATCGAGGGGGCACAACTGTATGTTAGCTTTTTTATAGAGGTCGCGTCATCAAGCCAACACTGCCTTAATAACGTTGTTTTGAACTTTATTTTCCTTTCTCCCTGTACAATTTATTAAGAGTTCCAATAATTAAAGGACCTTTGTGAGATTTGATGATTTCTGCATGGTCTTTCCTGAATCAAATATTGAGGAGATACAAGCTAAAATTAAGTATTTTTGTTGTTGTTAATTTTTCTTTTCAAAAATACAAGGATTTTCATAATTAATCTGTTCGATCAACACTCCTGGTAAACAATGCTGATTTTTTGTATAAGAACATCTGATGCCCGTAAATGGTATAACGATTTTAAATTAGAACATCTCGAAAAACTATCTGTCGGAGAAGTGTACTTTTTAAAGTACTTGTACATGGAATACATGGAGATAACAAACAGTATTCAAGCTCAAAAGTCCATTCAAAGAATACAAACCAGGAGCAGAGCAAACGCGGACTTCTAAAACATCAGAGGTGGGATTAGGTGCCATAGAGAAGTGAGCATCACCTGCCGACCGGTCACACTCGCCGTGTGCTCATTGTCATGACTTGGAAATATTACGGAAAAATCCATCTAGTAAGAAAAACGTCAGTCAGCATTTGCCTTGATGATAGATTGTTCTTGCTGACAAGGTCAATGTATCGACCATAGAACTTACGAAATGATGACTTTAAACGAGACTGTTGATATTCTTGTTCTGGACATCAGCTTGTTTTTCCATAACCTACCTCGATTTAGAAATTGTTCATACGTAGAACATGCTCTTGTAATATGCATGGAAGTTGTATGACGATGACCTTAAAGCACTTTAATGTCACAGTGGGTAGCACTTGGCTTCTGTGTAAATATTCTTTTCTATTGTTGAGTATATAGGATTATTGTTTTTCTTAAATGTAGAAAATTATTTCACATTTAAATGTATGTATTGTCTTCCATGATATATTTTGTAAATGAATGGGGTACATATTTAAACGTTTGGTGCCGATGCTTTAGTTTTGAAAGAATTGTAGAAAAAAGAGTTGATTAGATAAGAAATCATGCTTAATTATCACAGTTTTAAGGAAGACCTCATAATTATAATAATGATATCAAATGCTCACTTAGATCTCAGTCAGTTGAACTGGCTTACATATATAAGTAATATCTTCTGAAAATTTTACAAACAAGACTGGGTTTCAGAATTTTCTAATAGTAAAATCTATACTATTACTGTAATAAATTCACAACATGTGAAATTTTATTCCACCGCATTTAATCATTTTTTCAACCATACGCATAGTCTTTGATCCGTATGAAGTACATTTAAAAAGTATTTTCCGTTTTTATTAATATGCTGTTTTACTTCAGTGATCATGATTTTTTTCCTTTCATTTTCACATTAATCTGATATAAATCATCTAAATTATCACACACTGCAGCCAGGGCACAGTTAGATATCTTCGTTTTCACCTTGAAAGAATTTTTTTAAAAAAAAAAAAAAAAAAAAAGGAGAGATTATGAAATACAATGTACTTTAATGCAAAATTAACATTTGTTTATCAAATAATTGATTTACTTTTTATTTAATTGCACACAAGGTATGACAAGGTATTACAAACGGCAATCAAACTAGTACTACATGTATTGAAGACGGAATTTTTTTTTCATGAGTGATTTTATATCAATTCAAATATTATTCGATCTAACCAAATCATCTTCAAAATTTAAAAATAATTTTTAAAAAATTTTTTCTGTTTTTTTTTTTCCTTTTTAAAGTAAATCATTTCACATTTAAATCTACAGCTGTACATATTAAAGTCTTCCATAATGTACATATATGATTGTATCTTGTAAATTCATGTACATAGCCAATGTATTAATTCAAAAAAAAAATTTCAACTCTTTGCATATGTTTCTGATTCTTATTTGGCAAGCCATAATTACGCAGTTCTGTGCAAAAGTGGGACGCAGAAGAAATTTCTTTCCACCATCTTTTTTAATATTTTCCTCTTTATTTATAAGTCAGAATGATCTCAAATGCTGACTTTGACCACAATCAATCAATCAATCAATTGAACGGGCTTACAATTCTTCAGCTTCATATTTTTTACTCTTCCTGCCAACTTAACAGGGGTTCGTGTTTTCCAAACGGGGGTGGGGTGGGGGTCCAAGTTCATTTTTAGTTACTTTACTATGTACATTAAATATGTAACTCCGCAAATTCCAGTCCGAACCCCCATCTAGATCCGGTATTCATTATGAAAAAATAGGAACAATTGAGTAGAATAAACGTGAGACGTTTTATAAAAGTGAGACTGGGATCAAAATTGAGCTCATCTAAGTTTTATGGCTCCGGAGCCAGATTAATCACTGATACAACTAGCATTTGATACAATCGAAAAACCCGCTCTTTGATTTTTTTTTTTTTTTTGGCCAAAAGCAGGTCCCTTTAGACATTTTTTTTTCAACTAAATTGGTATATTTTTTTAATCATATGAAGCATTTTAGACCCAAAATACCTTCAGATCTGTAGCACACTAGTAGAAAATGATGTTAAGATAACTAAAGTTCCATGCATTCTTTTTGAGCACAAAAATATACAAAATTTTAGAGCTAATTCTCTGTATTTCAAGACAGTCATATAAATATGTAACTAGCACTTTCCCCTAAAATATTGCTTTACTACATGTATATGCTTTCAAAACCAAATCAATCGTATGATATAATTGTTAATAACCCTTTTGTGCATTTGCCTGAAACTATTGCCAATGTCATTTTTTTTTTCAAATACATTAATTACTAGTATGCTTGTAAAAATGTGTAATACCAATGAAGTGCATAAATGGAATTCAAACCATTGTTTTCATTCATATTATTTTTTAAAAGTAAAAATTGAATTTCCAAACTGATTTTAATTCTTTTATTTTAAATTACCCCAAATCCAAGTACATCATAGCCACTTCAATCATCACTTTAAGAGTCCTTCAGTTAACGCCTGCCCGAAGCAGCCGTGTAGGAATGTCATATTTAAAGAAAGGCAATTATACCGCATTCTAAAATCTGACTTATCAAATAGACAGTGGATTAGGGGATGTATGATTTTAGTGAAGGATTTAATCCAGCAATTCAAAATCTATAGCTGTAAGGTTTCACTTTCGAAGGGAAATTATGGATACAACTATCAAAATACGCTTCTATTGTTTGGGATGGCTGCTTTAAACACGATGCTGATAAGCTTGAAAAAGTGCAACTAGCTGCCGCTAGAATTGTCACAGGGCTTCCTATTTTTGTATCTTCAGAAACACTTTATTTAGAAACTGGGTGGGAAACTTTAAAATCCAGGCGCTATATTGCAAAAATGACTACTATGTTCAAAATTCATAAAGGGGATGTTCCTATGTATTTGAGTAATATTGTCCCCAACACGCATGAAAATGTATCAAAATATAATACCCGTAATAAAGAACAGTTTATTGTCCCACGATGTAGATTAGAAGTATACAAAAGGTCCTTTGTACCAGATGCTGTGAAGCAGTGGAATTTATTAAAAGTAGAAGCGAGAGAAGCCATCTCAATTAATTCATTCCGTAAAAACTTATGGTCTATTACAAAAGTCAGCAATCCGCCAACATATTTTTCTTTTGGTAAACGCTATACAAACATAATTCATACCAAACTAAGACACAACTGTTTACTTAATTATGATCTTTATAAACGAAATATTATCGATAATCCTTTTTGTTCATGTGGTAAATACGAAGATGTTTATCATTTCTTTTTTGCATGTAGAAATTATCCAAATGCTAGAAATAAGCTTTTTAACCGCCTGTTTTTGCTTGACGAGTTGGTCAATATTGACACAAATTTGTTACTTTGGGGTGACACAGATTTGCCTCTACAAACTAATCACACAATATTTGCTGCTGTCCATAAATTTATTGATGAAAC